AGCTACATGAACATTGTAGAATCTGCAGCTAGATATGAGAGATTTAATTGTTATTCATTAGTTGGAATGCAGAACTGAACAAAGTCTCTCCAAAATACCTTCCTTTAATACCATTTTGCCAATAACTCTCACATACTTATAAGGGTTATACTATGTAACAGCAACAGTTTCGAAATGTGATTGTACAGGTTTGAAAATCATCGCTACGGTAGGTTAATAGTACTTCTCAACCAAAAAATCATTTTCGAAATAGTAGTCATGGAAATGGTTCATTAGATGGCACATATTGTACTACAATACATCTAGGAACCTGCGAACCCTTAAACAAGCCCTTGAGCCCAGCCACAAGAGACTTTGTCATTTGCATCAAATCATACTTATTCCACATTCTAATTTTACTTGTTTGAATATTTGTTTGTGGACCACCCTGAACATGTGGAAGAAAAGCCTGTTTAAAATTTAACAGTAGTACAGAGAGCTGTGATGTTTTGAAAGTGGTGATGGATCCATTTCTGCTTTCATGAAGTTAATTTCATGAAGTAATTTGTGGAACTCAACTTATTTCAGTCAAATGCATCTAGAATGGTCTAGAAATCAAATTTGCTGTTTTTTTAAGTACCAAAATTCCCTTTTAAGTACATATATGTTTATACTATAAAAGTGTATTCCTTTTGTATTTCCTAATCGGCCTTTTCTATCAACTCTGTTATCGCCCTTTTTTTATATATCGGTCACATATTCCTCTAACAAAAAACTGGACAGCTTTTTTTTTTTTACTAATCTTGTGACAAACAATGTAAAGAAAATATCCTAGTATGTGTCTTAATGTTGAAGACAGAATGAGCTATGGTATAATTTCAAGCATCCATGTTTGCTCTTAAAATGACATGCATGGCCCTACATGTACATATGCACATATTTTCTGATCAGTCATGCGCTTGAATGAAAGATGCAGTTTGTCCATTTAATTTCCATTCTGTCCTATAGATTGGTAAAAGCTAAAATAATAATTATTATTTTATTTATAAATCCCTTCTCCCTGAGGATCCTAACCACCAAATAGCATTAATAACCCAAGATGTAACTAACTATGGTCAGTTATCTGCCCATGGCCATGATACTTTGAAATTTCTTTCAATATTTATACAAATAGAGCAAACTAAAGCATAACTTGTTTTTATAATTTCTGTGTGCAAAGTTATTCTTTGCATAATTTTTCTACTTCAAATAAAATGTTTCTCTATTTTGATCCCATTTCCACTCTGTTGCTCTATGTGATAAGGATATTCCTTATGCAAATACAATCTCCTACACATAATGATTGGCCTTTCTTTTAAACGTTATTGGATTTGTGTGTGTGTGGTGAGTGCGCGTTTTTTTGTGGTCACTGTTATGCTTAAGCACAGCACTCAATATAAAATGTTATTCTTTAACTCCAGCATGATTTCATTTGCGTTTCATATATTATTTAATATGTAGAGCCATCCCTTGGCTTTAGTATTTTAAGGAGGGTTGGGGATGATTTGTTTTCCTCACCCCTCTTCTGTTCAAAGTTAATGACTGCGATGGATTAGAACAACCTTTATAGTGACTTTGAGACCAATTTTGTGGACAGTCCATAGCAAGGTTTGGCAAAACTTTATTATTATATAATTGCCATGTCAAATGATAATCATAGCTGGCACTAACATGATATGAATCTTTTTGTTTATACACGGCATCTCAAAAAAATGTGCAACAAGATGTTGATTGGCAACATCTTAAACAGCACTCATTCATCCATTTCGCCAGTAGTGCCGTCTTAGTATCTTCTGAGTACTCTTTATGAATCGTACGGGGATCTAATCTGCAAGTTAGGATTTGTTTTGCTACATGTATATGTGTCATATTTTAGATGTTACAAAGAAAGCATGATGCATGGCATCACCGATAATCATCACTGATACATTTCAAATTGCTATTTCATTAGCAATCTCTGAAATGTCATGAATATATATTAGTTGAAATACATAGTACTAGAACCAAAAGAGAGTGCTCCAAGGAATTTCTGATGCAAATAATTTGTGCTTATTATTTATTCTTTTAAACTTACATGTAAAAAAATCAGGTCCAAGATTCTGGTGAAGTTCATGTTGAGAGTAATTATAAATGTACCATCGGGGCCTACCCTACACTGTATACTGGATAGCTGTGATCTGCAGTTTTTTTTTGTATAGTATATTACTATGGAGGTTCATCTAGCGGTCCTTAAGAGTAGAGTATGATTATCTACACGTCTTTGCAGCTCCTGATTAGATTTTTACCTTCCTTCTCTCTCTCTCTCTCTGTCTACCACTCATCCCTCTTTTTTTCAATTTGCTCCTATTATGTCTTTCTCTTTATGATCGGAAGAGGTTGCGGTATTGTCATTTACATCAGTTTCCTATTTATGTATGAATGCATTTATGATGTGACTCAGAATGAAGTTTTTTTTTGTACTGTCTGCTGAAAGATGGAATGGTGTTCACTCATTCTTGTTCAACATTAAGTTAACCCCTTTGGCTCTCAGCATACAAAATCATGTTTGTGCCTATGTTAAATTGTATGTAACATCAATGGGAGACAAATTTCTGTATTACAAATGTATTATGGAAAATAAAACCAGAATCTTGAAACTTGTAAATGTATTGTAGACTAAGCATGCTTAATTAAATTCCTTTGAATTTTAATTATTTTACATGTTTTTACTGATTGTATCTATTTCAAATTTTTCTTTTGTATAACCCTAACTACAGTCTTCTTTGGAGCCATATGACAGACGTATACAGCTGAAATGGAATTTCCCTTCAACCGTACAATATTTCAGGGCTTATATTTCAGGAATCGGTGTTCGCCCAACGTAGCAGTTGCAGGTACATGTAATAATGCTATGTTTTATTTTATTTACAATTTTACATTTGCCGAAGTCCTTTCCCTGGAGATTATTCAAAGCAAAAGTATGTTCATTAAATGTATATACCTTTTTTCATAAAGTTTTCTTGTGAAATATCATGAGTTTTAGTCAAATTCCCCCCTCCCCCCACCCCTGTTTTTGTTGCTTCTTGCTCCTTTATATTTCAGCTAGCCCATAGACCTACGATATATGTTTAGGTCTTTTTAATTGAAATGAAAACATTGCTTTCTTCAGTCATTAATATGCAACATATGCATTATACACATATTGGGGATATGTTACCCCAAAAATATATAAGAGCAAATTACGTTAATGAAATAAAGTGTGGACGAGAGGCACTGAGCTAAAAAAAAAATTAAAAAAGGAAATGCAATCCAGGCTATGTACTTACAGCAGTAAGAACAGATTTAGGCTTCACTCAAGTCATAATGTAATTATTGTAATGAAGTGTTAAATATAGGGTCTGTGCTTGTAGACTAATAGGGAGCAAGAGAGGGCCATAGCAGAAACAGAAAGTGAATACATTTAAGTCATTTTAAGATATCTAATATCAAATGTAACTTGTCACTTTTTATCTCATAGAGCTACGTTTATATTAACAGCTGTGGTTGTAGTCTTATTCAGGAAATATCATAGGGAATGTCACTAAAATAAAGTCATTTGTTTACTCCATTCACAAGCTTTTAATACCCTATTGTACATCTCAAAGAAATCATGTTCACAATACAACTTTGTAATGAATGCACATTTCAAAAGTTGATGCTCAAGGCCATTGAAATTGCCTGTGTTGCTATGATATCGTTTGGTCAATTGAGACTTACAGCATTCATACATTTATTTTGTATAGGATTTTCCTCAAACTTCCACTGAGTTTTGTCTGTCATTTCTCTGCTATCAAGTTCATCAGTGTTTGTAGTGAATCTTCCCTCTCTTTTAAATACACCTTTTCATTATGATTAACATTTATAGATTCTCTAATGCATTGAACTAGCCTCTTTGCAAGTACACACTTTCATATTTTCATGATTTCAATATTTGTTTTTACATGTATTGTAATGCTGACTCTGATAAAACAGTACTGGAATTGTTATGTACCTACTTTACGTTCACTCGTAAACGTTGTCATAGTCAGGAAGATGACTAGCTACACTATAATCATGATTCTATTAAACTATAACTATGCACATGTAATGTACTGTTTCAATTAAATCTTACTTACAGAAAAAGGACAACAACAAGTGGCACTATTCATGTATTCCTCCAAAGTGCTCATGCCAATCATGCCATAGCTGAACTTTCCTGAAAGACTGAGTCAATGAAAACTCTAAGGTAATTTTTTTTTTAAACTGATAAGTGTCAAAGCCTCACTATATATGCTTTTGTCATGATCTCTTCTTTAGACTATACATAAATGGGGTTACAGCGTAAGAAAACCTTTCCGACGTTTTTAGGAGTATACCCATGAAATATATATTGAGAATAGAATATCCAGTCATATTCTACATACATGTATTTGAAGAGTTATATCTAGGGATTTGATATAATGACATGTTCGATAATGATCAGTTGTTGTACTTGATTAGATGCATTCATTCCTTAAATAAAGGCTTTGTAGCATACATGAATTTGAAATAGAGATCCCTCCTACTTAATTGTTATGTGTATAGAATTCATTTAATTTTTTTTCTTATTCGAGACCTTTTGCAGAACCCCAATAGAATCCATTTGATTTGTTTGCGTGATTGTATTTCACCATCCATGCTATCGTTTTCTTATTTCACTGTGCAGACTTCAACATATGTGCAGCGTTTCAACCGAGAGTCAACACCCTCCATTGTAGTGTTCGGCAGGCTTTTCAATTGGAGTTTGGGCTGATTTCAATCGTAATAATAATAATAATAATATTCAGTTCTTGTATAGCGCATGATATGTTATGAAATAACACCTCTATGCGCTTCCAAAGAGCTTTGGAAATGATTACCCTTTAGCTCCGGCAGCCGTTATCAGGAATAATCCTGCCAGGTACCCATTTACCTCACCTGGGTTGAGTGTGGCAAATGTAGATCAATGTCTTGCTAAAGGACATTAGTGCCGCGGCGGGACTCGAACCGCAGACCTTGTGATCAACAGTCCGGTGACGTATCCACTCGACCACAACACAGGACCACCGCATAGCACTTTATGACTCTGTCTGCTTAAGCATGGTTGTTTCCTGATGCAACATCATCAACACATGCTTAATTTTCTTGCGTAGTGCTCGTATATCCTATATCCTGAGAGTTACTTTTATTTGTGTTACTTATTTGGTCTGATTCACATTTGAACTTCCTGGTTTCTAGTGATGAATTATTGGCCATAATTGTAATTATCATTGCATGTCTACTTTAAGATGTGATGATACAGAAGGGCTACAGCCTAAGCAGCTTCATATGCTTCCAGCCCCCCCCCCAAAAAAACTATTTAAATGAATCACAAGGAGTAGAAAGAGAAAGAGAGAGAGAGATGGGGGGGGGTACTAATATGAAGGGATGGGATGGGGATTTTCAGCTATCAATGAAATTGTTAACTGACATATATTATCATTAATATTTCATTCACATGTTGCAGGAATGTCTGATGTTGAAATAAAATGTACGTGAAGGTACAAGTAACCACATTGTGTAACATATTTCCTAGTGAATGTTACCAAATATGTCAATGTAAAAGTGTTCAAAACGAATAGTCCCACCATTATTGTGGCTTGATAGGTCTGAAACCATGCTCTGTAATTGCCAATATGACAGTATGTGTCTATTTTCATAAAAATATACACAGTGAGAGGGATCAAGAAACACTGTTTCAGTTCAATGTACTATTCATAAAATCGAGATGGAAATCATTATCATTTCTCTGTCTATAACTATCTGATGCTTAGCTCCAAGATTAAGCGTGTAAAAGTAAGTGCAATTTTGTTCTCTTCACACTCCAACCACATTGATTTACTGAGCATGATTCTGCATAAATTGATGAGGAAATGTAACAATACACTATAAAAATGTGTTGAATTTTAAAAAGTTGCCAGTTTCCGAAAAGTAAATCAACTGAAATAGGCCCTACAAGGATATTAATTCCCATTAATTGATGTCTTTGTAATGCATGTTAATTTCTATAATGTGATATCATCACTGTTTATATTTCATACAGAAAATATAGAATACAGAAAATTAATTTCATTTGAAATGAAATAAAATTTAAAAACTATATATATATATATATAATTCAAAATGATAGTGTTAGATAATTTCAGATTGATGAGAATGGATAAGGATTTACGATTTGAATATATATTTCTATGTGAACCTACTAAGATGTATGTACATCGAGTTATTAGATATTTGTCTACATATGCTATGAATGGTTTTTCAAAATGTGATGAAATTCAAATGTACATGTATATATCCATCTTGTTGTTGTTATGGCTTAATAACTTGGAGGACTAGGAGATATAAGAAACGTTGATTAATTACTCTTGATTGATTATTTACTCTTCTTTGCATCGTTCCACTCTAACTGGCAAAACAGCGACAATTAGTAGACACACAAAAAGTATTGCCAAGGCAATTTTATTTCTCTTATCATCCTGTAATGTATTTTTCTCTTCAATGTTTTGCAGTTGCAATGTGCAGAAGTTGGTATTGCTTCCGGTTCTAGGACACCTACCCCCTGAACAACCATTCCCCCAGTGCCCTACCCCCTGGACACCCACACCCGGATAACCACCCTCTAGGACAACTACCCTCCTGACACTATCCTAGGGGGTAGTTGCCTGGGGGAGGGTAGTTTTCCGGGGGTAGTCGTCCTAGAGGGTGGTTGCCCTAGGGGGTAGTTGTCCTAGGGGTAGATTTCCTAGAGGATGGTTATCCGGGGTTGATGTCCAGGGTCGGTGTCCGGATACGATTACTTTCCATGAATGAATCTAAATGAGCAAATTATCATGCAGTATCATGAATTTCAATTGTTCTTTTGCAGGGAACATTTTAATTTATATCATAGCTAGCCAGTTCTGAAATATCCTCGATTACAAATTACCATGCTCAAAAGTTGGAAATTATACATGTAGTTTTTGTTTTCATTTTTGATATTGTATAAAATAGCGTATGCAAGGGTTGTCCAAATCGCATCACAAGTATACAACCGTTTATTTAAAATTAACATTCATATGTGTTTTCTGGAATAAAGTTTGTTATTTTGTATTATTGTCCATTTCATTCAATTTTCACCAACTTATTTGTTCAATATTTCTACTTTTCCTCAGAACATGTGTTGTGAAGTTTGAATATTCCTTGTCGGTTTCATTATGCCATGAAAATAAGCTCATAAATGTAAATGCCCTTTTTGCCCTCCTTAACGATTTTAGATATACAGTTAACACATGAATTATTCATACCCCTTTGTATATTTGATTTTTTTTTTCTTTTTTCTTGTGTTTTTCGTTATTCAAGAATAAAAGGTCCACTAAGGGTAAATTATATGTTGGCTTTAATATATTACATTCTCAAGAAATGTAAATCGGAACAAATCAATTTTTTACATACTAATTTAAAACTTGGTAAGGGTATAAATAATTTGTTCAATGTACATGTAGTGTAACATGTTTCAAAGGAATGGAAGTTTGATTTGAGTGTGCATTCGTGTTAGGGAGGAGAGAGAGAGAGCCGGGAGGGGGGGGGGGGGGGGGCACCAGTATTTTTTCGCCACTTTTTCAGAGAAAGGCAGGCACCTTGGGTTCATTTAAGTAAAACATTTAATGCTGCTTCCTGGAAATTGAATGCATATACGTAAGAACTGTTTTTTTCTAGAGTTTTGGAAGAATTATTATATTCGGGTTAGTGCAGCCTAGACAACCAACATCACAGGCACGTACATACGTTTGGCATTTCAATTTCTACTGTTTGTAGCCATGAAGGCGTTAACTTTGTATATATATATTAGTTTTATGCTCTTGTGACTCAAAACAGAATTTCACGTTGACTAAATTATGATAGAATATGTGATTGAATAAAATCACCAATCATTTTAATTTCACTCATTAATTTTCTTATTGCCTTTTTCTTTATAACATGTATGAATATGATACAAAGAAACGGTGTTTAAAACAAATTATTATAAAGTATTTGCCATCACCTGGGCCATGGACATAAAATTATAATTAAAAAAGTAGGCTTATATGCATCTTCTCTTTGTGTTTTGAAGAACATTCTTCAGAGAAATACACATGACATGAGATCATGATTTATCTCTATACATCTCGCAAGTTTCACCTGCTTTGTTTAGTTATTTCCATTGTGGATGTAAGACATCATAACTCCCTATAGGAGGTGACATCATATTTTGTAACCCCTTTCATATTCACATCTTAAATATATACGGGCTAGTATCGCTCCACCTGGTAGACCAATAATATTGCTATAAGAACATGACACCTCGAAACTGGACCTGTATAGTTGTGAATATGCAATATCAATAAAACATATCATCTGCTTCAAAGTATGAACCACAACATATTTTCAGCACAGGACCACAGTACATGACTGTACTTACAGAGGCAAACAAACCTGGCCACGTAATTCAACAGGGCATATTTGTGTTTCATGCGTAAGGGTGTGGCACTAGCTTAATTTGGCTTAGCGGCAGTGTATATCACATGTAGTTGCTCTAACTCGGATGTATCACTCCTGATCCCATCAAAACGGACAGAGTAGAGTGTAATGAGCATGCAATCTTCTGCCAAGAAACGTTTCATGAATCAGGATACGGTAAGATTACTTATCCTAACCCTATAGGCTTGAATAGTTCATGGTTACAAAATGCGACCCGGCTGCTAAGTAGGGGTGTGGTTGTATAACTTACCCCCAAGTGCATTCATTTCATTATTTTTGCCCGCCCCTCCCCTCAGTGTTATTTAGGGTACGCATATTTGTGTTCCCAGCACCCCCCCCCCCCGTCAGAAGAAAAGAGTTGTGTGTAAATTCAATACGGCCGGGTAGATCTTTTTTCTTTGTTATACAAGCCTTTTAGCACCCCCCCCCCCCCTCTTTCAGCAAAAGTCCAGTGTGTAAAGTCAATACGGGCAGATCTTTTTCTTTGTTATACGATCGAGCCGGAGATTTGGGAACACGCATGCGATACCTCCGTTCCCGGAGGGGGGGGGGGTATTCGTTACGACTTAATTTACTGCAGTAAAACTAAATATAAAAAAATATGATGAATAAGTATAAGAAAAATGAATTATGAACTACCAATTACCCCGGACCAATATCAACGAAATTTAAGAATCCCCATTACACCATCACCATCGTTATCATCATCGCCCCCTCCCCGTTTCTGTCTGTCTCTCTCTCTCTCTCTCCGTCTCCCGAGACGGTAGTCAACATAAAGAATCTCGACTTTTTCATTTTTGGGATGAGAAAGATATCATATTAGTCGCGTATTAACGCAAGTTTGATTGGCATTGATGAACAAATTATAATCACCGTAGTCGTCCAAGAAATGTTCCAGAAATTTGTGAAATGCCGCTATTTAAAATATATATACATTAGCATTTTTTTTTCTTGCTTTCTGTCTTTCTTTCTTCTTGTGGTTCTTTCTTTTTTCCCCTTCTTCGTCGTCTTCTTCTTCTTCATTAAGCTAAGACAATAACATGCACAATAAAATTGTACAATGTATCTATGATGACTTGGTAGTCAACGTTTGATATGGTACATTGCTGCCGATATTGCTAAAGTCTGACTTTTCGTAACGCTTCGTAATGAAAAGTTCAGATAATGCTTACATGGTAAACAATCCTGAAAAGAAGACTATAAGCTACTGATCATAGTTTAATTTCTTTATTTGCTTTAGTTGCAAAAGAG